GAAGAACCCAAAACAATTGGGTTTTGCTTGCTGGGAAAATGAAGGACCCAGCAGTCTCTATGAAGATACCTACCTGACACTCAGGTCATCAGGACCTGATGTTAAAAGTGCCTTCTTGCTGCTAAATGTCACAGACTGAGCACCCTGTAATCCTGATCCCACTTCTGAATAATTTTGATGGCTCTACTCTGCTCCCTGGGATTTTCACATGTTCCACCAAGTGGATCTGCTGCCACAGTCCTTTCTCCACCTAGCTGCTTCTCCACCACCAAATCCCTCTCTGCTGCTCCACAGGATCTTTCTCTAGCTCTGGGTGCTTAACTCACTCTTTAGAGGAGTCCCTTTTCCCTAGTGACTTTGGAGGAGGTTCCAGTTTCTGTCCTGGAGTAGTATAACTGACTTTCTGATGGGGGGAAGCTTTCAGATCAGCTATAAAAACCCCCATTTAGATTTACATGACTTGATCTTCCCACAATTGGGGAAGAACCCAAAACAATTGGGTTTTGCTTGCTGGGAAAATGAAGGACCCAGCAGTCTCTATGAAGATACCTACCTGACACTCAGGTCATCAGGACCTGATGTTAAAAGTGCCTTCTTGCTGCTAAATGTCACAGACTGAGCACCCTGTAATCCTGATCCCACTTCTGAATAATTTTGATGGCTCTACTCTGCTCGCTGTGAATTTCACATGTTCCACCAAGTCGATCTGATCCCACAGTCCCTTCTCCACTAAGCTACTTCTCCACCACCAAATCCCTCTCTGCTGCTCCACAGGATCCTTCTCTAGCTCTGGGTGGCATTTCTTTCTTGCCTAGTCACATCACACCTCATTTGCCTTTATGAAAAAGGCTTCTTTTTTTTTTTAACTAGGTAGCAAAGGTTACCAAGCAGCCCAGCTTGCTCTCCAAACCCCCATTTAGATTTACATGACTTGATCTTCCCACAATTGGGGAAGAACCCAAAACAATTGGGTTTTGCTTGCTGGGCAAATGAAGGACCCAGCAGTCTCTATGAAGATACCTACCTGACACTCAGGTCATCAGGACCTGATGTTAAAAGTGCCTTCTTTCTGCTAAATATTACAGACTGAGCACCCTGTAATCCTGATCCCACTTCTGAATAATTTTGATGGCTCTACTCTGCTCGCTGTGAATTTCACATGTTCCACCAAGTCGATCTGATCCCACAGTCCCTTCTCCACTAAGCTACTTCTCCACCACCAAATCCCTCTCTGCTGCTCCACAGGATCCTTCTCTAGCTCTGGGTGGCATTTCTTTCTTGCCTAGTCACATCACACCTCATTTGCCTTTATGAAAAAGTCTTTTTGTTTTTAACTAGGTAGCAAAGGTTACCAAGCAGCCCAGCTTGCTCTCCACAGCAGCCCTGTCTTCCAGGTTATTTATAATTCTTTTAGTCTATATGTCATGGACAAATGTTATCAGTCCCTGAAGACCTTGTTGACTACCCCATCCATGTGATCTGTTCACAAAAAGCTTTTTCTTCCCCCTGGCTCCCACCCAAAATACAAACATCCCCAAAATAACACAACTGCTGAGACAAGCGGCAGGAGAAACCGAAAGGATGGGGGGAGGAAGGGATGGTGTGGGTACTACTTGGAAGTGACTGACAGTCACTGTTTTGGAGTGCAAAAAACGGCATTTATTTTGTTTTTAAAAGCTTAAATACATAGAGCTCAAACTACCGCACATGCTTTGCAGGTGATCACTACTTTCTTCTACATCTTTTGCTTTACAGAGCTCCCACAGCAAATCTGTGTATTATTGTACAAACACAGCAAGGAGGTGGCTTTACCTGTGCTTTGAGAAAAATCTTCTCAGAAGCTGAAGCAGAGTGGCAAGAGAATTTCCGGACAAATGTTATCAGTCCCTGAAGAGCTTGTTGACTACCCCATCCATGTGATCTGTTCACAAAAAGCTTTTTCTTCCCCCTGGCTCCCACCCAAAATACAAACATCCCCAAAATAACACAACTGCTGAGACAAGCGGCAGGAGAAACCGAAAGGATGGGGGGAGGAAGGGATGGTGTGGGTACTACTTGGAAGTGACTGACAGTCACTGTTTTGGAGTGCAAAAAACGGCATTTATTTTGTTTTTAAAAGCTTAAATACATAGAGCTCAAACTACCGCACATGCTTTGCAGGTGATCACTACTTTCTTCTACATCTTTTGCTTTACAGAGCTCCCACAGCAAATCTGTGTATTATTGTACAAACACAGCAAGGAGGTGGCTTTACCTGTGGTTTGAGAAAAGTCTTCTCAGAAGCTGGAGCAGAGTGGCAAAGAGTTTCATTCTTTGTGTTCTTCTGCCACACTGAGGAAGAGCAAGAATCAACCAAACACAGCAAGGAGGTGGCTTTACCTGTGCTTTGAGAAAAATCTTCTCAGAAGCTGAAGCAGAGTGGCAAGAGAATTTCATTCTTTGTGTCCTTCTACCACACCGAGAAAGAGCAAGAATCAACCAAGACAAATAGTTTTTTATTTTTTTTCTGGAAATCCTCTTTCCATTATGCCAAAATAGGAGTAAAAGCTTCTCCATCCTTCAGCTCAGTGTCAATGATCCAGGTGCCTTCTCTACACTAACCTGACCATGACCCTGTATAATAGTTAAAGATAGTATTCCCTGCAGACAAAAAACAATACCTTGAACTTCCTAATTGTTTAGACTGAAAATTTGGGTATCTCAGGCAAAGGCTGGGAAACCCTAAGGATGGTGCTCCCAAAGCTCCTCTGATGCTCCATGAGCAACGTATTTTTGGAATGCCATGAAGCAGTGGGCACAAATGAAATTCCCTCAGCAAAAGCCCTTAGGAGTCAAGGTGAATATTTATTTCTAAAAAAATCCCAAGTTAAATTCTTTACCTAACCCTCCCCTTCATGCCCTTACAAAATACAAACACATTTCAGTGGTACAACGAATATCAGCACCAAGAACGAGGCGAACATTTCAGTATCTACACCACAACTTCCACCACCATGTCACACTTATTGCAACACACCACCACGCATGTCAAAAGCACATGGGAAAGCCGATGAGAAGACATTCTACCCTTTCGAGCGTGCTTATTTCTACAGGAGTAAGGTGGGAAGTACAGCAAGAGACTTCCAGGAAAGATTAGGAAAAAGCAGAAAAGACTGTGGAAAGAGAAGTTTTAAGTGCAACTGGAAAACTTCCTTTTTCCTATCAAGGCTGTTGCTATGTCCGAATACATGACTATGTTCTTTTTAAGATGAAGAGCACGAAACCAAGCAAGGCATGCCTGTGCCAAATTCCATATACATTAGGCATGGCAAGAATTTGGCATGAGCACCATCCCCCTTTTGTAAGGCCTGATTCCTCATGCTGCTCACCACCCTCAGCTGAGCGGACTTTGCTCCATGCCCGCCCTGGCAAGCTCTGGGTGTGCTCCTTCTCTTGAAACACCAGGGCTGTTTTCCAAAGGAAAGGCCAAGAGGAGGGACATAACTGACGGGGCAGTCTGTGGAGAAGTAAGAATCTCCTTGGCCATCTGAATCGTGAGGTGAGGTGGAGATACTGAGTCCCCAAGCCCCCCACTTTGATGGGGCACCCATACCAAAGCGGTGAATTGCTTAAGGCACAGGGGAGCAGTAAGAGGGGCAAAATTGGGAAGGAGAGATGGACTGTGATTTGAGGTCCTCTGGAAATCAGGGTACTGGATGATAAAGGTCTCTCTGACCCTACAGCATGGGTTGATGTGCTCATGCTTTCTTTTGTGCCATTTTAACCCACAGACGGAAAGGTGACAGTTTCTCCTGAAATCTGGGTCCCCAAGCCCCGCACTTTGATGGGGCACCCATACCAAAGCGGTGAATTGCTTAAGGCACAGGGGAGCAGTAAGAGGGGCAAAATTGGGAAGGAGAGATGGACTGTGATTTGAGGTCCTCTGGAAATCAGGGTACTGGATGATAAAGGTCTCTCTGGCCCTACAGCATGGGCTGATGTGCTCATGCTTTCTTTTGTGCCATTTTAACCCACAGAAGGAAAGGTGAGAGTTTCTCCAGAAATCTCCATCCCCATCAAAGACCCAACTGTGGATGCAATTTGATTGCAAATAAAATTGCCTTTTACTGGCATAAAATTCCTTTTCTCTCTTCATGGCAATAACCTACACCATCTCCTTTATATTGCTTAAAGGGCACATTTGTGCTGCTTTCAATGCCTCTCCATCCCCATCAAAGACCCAACTGTGGACGCAATTTGATTGCAAATAAAATTGCTTTTTACTGGCGTAAATTTCCTTTTCTCTCTTTGTGGCAATAGTCTACACCATCTCCTTTATATTGCTTACAGGGCACATTGTGCTGCTTTCAATGCCTATGAATAGTTAAAGGGTGGGTGTCAGGAGGATGGGGCCAGTCTTTTTTCAGTGGTGCCCAGGGACAGGACAAGAGGGAATGGGCACAAACTTGAACATAAGAAGTTCCATCTAAACACGAGGAGGAACTTCTTCACTTTAAGGGTGGCAGAGCCCTGGCAGAGGCTGCCCAGAGAGGTGGTGGAGTCTCCTTCTCTGGAGACATTCAATCCCCACCTGGACAGGTTCCTGTGCAACCTGCTCTGGGTGGGCTCGCTCTGGCAGAGGGGTTGGACTAGATGATCTCCAGAGGTCCCTTCCAACTCCATATCATTCTCTGATTCTGTGACTATGATCCGATTAGAAAGGCTAACCCACATGCACAGGCTTCCCTTCCAACTCCAGATCATTCTGTGATTCAGTGATTATGATCCGATTAAAAAGGCTAACCCACATGCACAGGCCTTAAGCAGAATTTGGGGCTGAGAACGTCCAAATAGTGCACCTCAATGAACAAAAAGGCTGTGATAGCCCTGAGACTTTCCAGACATGACTACGAGGAGCACAAGGTGTGTTTCATGCAATGAAACACCTTGCTCATTGTTTGGGCAAGGGAAGAGCACACGTTTCCTAAAGAGGAGACTGGCAAGGGAAGAGCACACGTTTCCTAAAGAGAAGAGGAGACCAGTGGGCCCCATTTACAGACAATTTTGGTTCTTCAGCAGGGACTTCTTTTTGCCGTGTTTTACAGGTAAGCCTGATGAAGAAGAGGTGAACTTCTCATAGTTCACAGAAAACAGAAACACTAAAGAGGACCACATAAAAAACAGCTATATGGGGGAAAGCAGGAAAACCAGGAGGTTTAAGACAATTAAAAGACCCTGAAAAGGGGAGTACCTGGGCCAGTGGACATAGTTGTGTCCTCTACTTCAGGAAGAAGTCAACATTGGTGTGGGGAGAGGAAGGTGCAGAGAAAACAGCAGCCAGCCAGCAGCTGCTGTAAAGGGGTGCACCCTGCAAAGCACAAGTAAAAGGAGTTTTTAAGAGATCCCCACTCTACTTTTGGCAGCAACTAAGTCCCTAATTGAGCAACATGAACATTTACACGGACCCATCAGAAATTGCCCGTTCCAGGCATGGACTAAAAAGACACTGATGCCAAAAACTATGGCTATTCTAACCAGATCAAATGTGCTCAGGATCATTCTAGACCTGAGACCAACTGGCTTGGAGCAACACAGCCTGTGTAATCGCACACTTGCCCTCCAAATGAGCTGCACATTCAAGCTCCAGGGGACTTTGTATCAAATCTGTTAAATATTCAGTGTATTTTAATTGCTTGCTAGCATACTCTAGAGCCAAAATGAGCCAGATGTGATTCTGTGGCTACCAACCATGTTTCAGGCCTTCATGCTTGATTCCTGCACGTTACTCTCCAAAGAACCACTCTTGGCCATATCATCCACTTGTCCTCTCGAGGACAAAGACACAGTGAGATAGCAGTCCAACCACAAAACCTGTATGAAAGGAGACAGCACTCAGTGCTTTAGGGGAATAGACCCTCATACAGCAAGTGCAGAATGGAGTCAGAGCCTGGCCTATTTAATCAGGCTTTCAGGGATTTAGTGGAGGAATTTTCTTGGGCTATCAGCTTTGGAGTCTCAATCTCATCTCTCCACTGTAATGGGACTAACCATTCATGGATGTTAATGACCATTTAGGTCAGCACTGTGGTTCTACAGGGCTAAATGCACAAATATCAGGTGGCTTTAGCTAAAGAATTGGATCCTGTAACAGTTATCACTGCAACAGACTTGGGTGTCAGAAAACAGCAAACACATGTCCTTGAAGGACATGAGCCTCTGTTGCCAACATAACAAAAAACTGTAATATACAGCTAGGAAAATCTACATAAAGGTCAAATTCAGAGGTTCCAGGGGCTGCAAGGGTATTTGAATCCTTCTGTGGCAAGGTCTGTGATGCAGCTTCACACAGCCCAGCACCCTTTTCCTCTTCTCACCTAGGTCAGTATCAAAGACACTGGCATCATCAGGCCAGGAAAAAAAACAAAACAGAGGCTTCCCAGGGGCTGGCTGGAGCACACCTTCTTCAGTGGCTTGGATTGCCCTTCCCCGCACAAAGGTGAGATGTCCATCCACACTCTGGATGGCCACTGTCTCAAGGGGAGGCTCTGGGTGGGAGGTGGACGCCGTTGGAGCCCTGTGGTCATCTGTTCATTCGCTGGAGGATGGTGACACAGCCGTGATAGCTGGTACAGCGCTGCAGTGGTGGCTGCTGCTCCACCATCCCCGTCACCGGGTCGAAAGTGAAGGCTTTGTCCGTGCCTTCCCCATTCTCATCTCGGCCACCCAGGATGTAAATCTTCCCTCCGCACACCGTCAGGCCACAGCTCTCCTGGAAAGCAGAAGGAAAGCCCAAGAGCTGAGGAGCAAGACTCAAGCTTCAGGCAAGGGGGCTGAGCAGGGGAAAGGGAGTCGTCGCAACGGGCTCAACTCTCCCTTGCCCAGCAGAAGGGAGAAAAAGTAGGTAAAGTAAGTGATTTCTGGCTCTTGGGGTGGTGCAATCATACAGTTTCAGTAAGAGTTTAGGCACCTGCAATGCCTCAAGCCAACGATGGGATGTTGCTGTTCCTGGCAGCCCCCCAGGCACAGCACAGACTCACAAGCCCACCAAAAGCCCAGAGGTCCAGCCAGAACCTCCCTGTGAAAGCCCCTTATAAGGAGGCACTAACACAGAGTTTTAATTCAGATTGGGGTGAGCTGTGGCCCAACATTCTTCTTCACAGTGCCATGGCTCACGTTGCAGCGTGCCTTTGGAGTACAAGACTGTGAAGACACTAAACCAAGATACGTAACCACCACCAGCCCATGTTCAGTCCACAGACCAGACTAGAGCCATTATAAGCCTCATCCTGAAACACAGCGTGGAGGACAGATCCTCAACACCAGTGATTTCACCCCACAGAGCCACTCCTCTGGCATTAATAGCTAGTGGAGACACAGCTTCAGCAACAAAACTTGGGTTTGCTGTGAGAGAGACATCCTCCAAGCAGTATGGATGCTGATGGCAAGTACATATATGTTTGAGTTGCTTTGCAGAGGTCACATTCACATGCTTGGAGCCAAACCCACAATGTATTTTCTTTGCCTTCAATATCTCAGTAAAGCACAGATCGCCCCTGTTCTAGGGGGAGAGGGAAGGCTCAGAGCTTCTTTCCTAAACCTCTTCCTTACCAGAGGCCCAGGGAGGGTGGCCACTTCTCGCCAGCTGTCTTCCCTTGGGTCGTAGCTGAAGATTTTACTGAGCAGTCCACCTACAACATAAATTATGTTGTCCAAGCAGACGGCACTGATGCATCTCTGATAAAAAGGGGTCGGAGACAGGAGCGTCCACTTGTTGTCCTCTGGATCATAGCACTGCACCTGGGAGGAGCAACGCAGAAACATGGAATTTACCACATCCCCCTGCTTGGATGAAGCTGCTGTTCACTGGAAATAAAAGAACATGGGGACAGAAACACAGATGGGAGCTTCAACACCCAGAGACCAGTGCAGAGAGCGAAGCAATGAGGAGTTCTAGCATTCCCTCTTGCATTCAAGTCTCCTAAACTACAAGCCCCAGGGTGGCTCTCCTTGACCCAGACAGTGCAGTGTTCAGAGATGGAGCTGAACAGTGCTGATGGCTCTTTCTGCAGCTCAGGAGACCAAAACTACCATGTCTGGCTTGTAGAGGTCTCTTCCAGGCAGTTACTATGATTGTTACTTATCTGAAGTGAATGCCTACAGGGTTGGAGATGTGTTTCTGTGGTGCCTCAGGACTGACCAGGCTTCAGAGCAGAACAGATTCTACTGAAACCATGCTTCATACCAACTCCTGACACTTTCCCTTTCTGGTCTGTAAGTCTCATTGGCTTCCATTTAAATGCATGACTTCTCATCTTATTATAAGGGAGATTTATTAGACTTCCAAAAAAAGGCACCCTTGTAGCTTAAGGACAACTCCATTTCCCTCTGTGTTTTCTGGTAAACCTTCTTTTTTAGATCTCTGTCCATTGTTGATGCCCCAGAAATACCTTGTCAGTGTTAGCAGTGTCATCCACAGCACCACCCATCACGTAGAGCTTGTTCAGGCAGGAGACCACGGCCGCCGAGCTCACGGCTTGAGGCAGCGGGGCCAAGGTTGACCAGCTGTTGGAGAAGGTGTCATAGCACTCCACGCTAGAGAGGCGGTAAAAACCATCAAAACCTCCCACAGCATAGATCTGCCATAAAAGGAGCAAAGCAAGCTGATTAGAAACTCCTGGATTCACCTTATGGGCTATGGTGTCAGATGTACAGGAGGGGATGTCAGGACTTGGCCAGAAATACAGACACCAAGCCACAGTAAAACCCTGGGGTTGGAATAGATGACTTTTAAAAGTCCCTTCCAACCCAAATCATGCTATGATTCTGTGAAACACCCCACACTGTATGGCTTTCACCCAAGGACTTGACACAGCTATCTGCAGAAATTTTGCACCATCCCAAGGCAATTTTTATTGCTACAACTTCATTTGCGGCTACTTCAGGTGACAACAACACACCCCACTGAAACAATGTCGTCTTGGTTAGGTCCTAGCTGTTCTCCCATCAAAATCATCTCTAAATCACCCAGAAGACAAACACACACTGGCAGTTTCTTGTCATAGTGGGCAGCAGAAGTGCGGGACAGTGCTCTGTGTGGCTTCTTCCAAAGTTCAGGTCATTGCTTACCTTGCCCTGAAGCGTTGCCATTTTGTGCCTCCATCGGCCTTTCTGCAGACAAGCAACCTTGATCCAGACGTTCAGCTGGGAGCTCAGCACCCAAACATCATTGCTGCTGATGTGTCCTCCTGAAAAACAGAGGGATGGAGGGTTGATACAACCCCAAGGACAGCTGCTTCACCTCACTACACCACAATATTGCATAGTTCCTCCATACAATGGAAAAACCGGGGGTCGGTTTCTTCTCCCAAGTAACAAGTGATAGAACGAGAGGAAACGGCCTCAAGTTGCTCCAGGAGAGGTTTAGGATGGATATTAGGAAAATATTCTTCACTGAAAAGGTTGTCAAGCCTTGGAAGAGGCTGCCCAGGACAGTGGTGGAATCGCCATCCCTGGAGGTATTTAAAAGTTGGGCAGACGTGGCGCTGAGGGACATGGGTTAGCGGTGGGTTTTGTCAGTGTTGGGTTGATGGTTGGACTCAGTCTGAAAGGTCCCTTCCAACCTAGAAAATTCTACTATTGTAACTTAGGCCAGAATACAGTTATTGGGTTATGGCCATGTTAACTCACCTTCCCAAGGGAGATATCCTCTGGACGTCATGGCACTTGTTACACCGCTCTATCCCTCATATGGCATTGTATTTTAAGTGAGGGACAGGCAGAAGACTCTGATCTTTTAGGAAACTCTGCCTGACAGCATACACCAAAACCATCTCATTTCAAAGCTGAGTGCTTTTGCCAGATGCCCAACAGAAGGGAAAGTGTTTTTTTTAATGCTGCCATCTTCCCCCTCAAAGGTGATTTTTTTTCCTTGGGACAGCAAGATCCAAACCACCTACGGATAAACTTCACCAAGAAATTATTTTGCTCCAAAGCTGGGATCATAGAATCATAGAATGGTTTGGGTTGGAAGGGACCTTAAAGCTCATATAGGCCAAGCCACAGCGATGTGCAGGGACACCTCCCACCAGACCAGGATGATCAAAATCTCCTCCAACCTGGCCTTGAACCCCTCCAGGGATGGGGCAGCCACAGCTTCTCTGGGCAACATGTTCCAGTGTCTCACCACCCATACAAGAAAGAATTTCTTTCTAGTATCTAATCAAAACCTCTCTTCTTTCATTTTAAAACCATTACCCCTCATTCTATCACTACAATGCACGTGAATGAGTCCTAGTGAACAGAACTAAACAAACAGTAGGTGCCCACGCAGAGGTCGTGCCATTCTTTGCAACCAGGAAGGGACCATCTGGGCCCAGGCTATCTCACCTGATATGTACACATCGTTCTTCAGTGTGCAGGCAGCAAACTCTGACTTGGTGTAGCCAGGCACGCTGGAGAGGGCTGTCCACTGCCTGCTCTTCGGGTGGTAGAGGTCCGTGAAGGGCAGCTTCAGGAGGCCTTTCTTATCACAGCCCCCAATGACGATGATGACTTCTGCCAGCTCCATGAACCTAGACCATGAAAGGCATGGGTAATTCCCTGAGCCAAGGCTAATCCTTCCCATCACCCCTCCCATCCTATTTAGGACATTGGCAGCACAGTCCAACGGACAGAGAGAAGGGGCCTCTCCTGCATCCATCAGCTGATTTTCTGGGCAAATCATTTCACCCCTGCACCTTCCCTTTTCCCCCCAACATTCAAAGCAAAGGCACCTCCCAGACTGGGTGGGAGAAGGGTCCAAACTGCGTAGGGAAAGAAAATGGGAACAACCTTTAGAAGTCCTTGGTGAGATTGCCCCCTGCCACTCATTATCCTCCCACCCCCCCTCTTCCAGCACAAATCAAGCCTAATCCTCAAGGCACAGCCACGAGCTGTGGAAAGCTGTTCCTGGCAGCCCGCCCGTGACAAGCTCTCTCTTTAGAAGTCCTTGGTGAGATTGCCCCCTGACACTCACCATCCTCTCCCCCCCCTCCTTCCAGCACAAATCAAGCCTAATCCTCAAGGCACAGCCACGAGCTGTGGAAAGCTGTTCCTGGCAGCCCGCCCGTGACAAGCTCTCTGCCTGGAGAGAGGAGTGTTTCCAGGAAATATCTCTCTCTCTCTCTCTCCAGCCCTAATAGCAGCGAGCAGACGAGACAGACAGCAGGGGAAAGAAAAAAATCCTGCCAGCGAGTAGGTGGCAACAGAGGAACAGCTCTGCAGGAGGGGAGGGGAGAGGAGGGAGGAGGATGAAAGAGGATTTGAAAGGCTTGGTCCAATCCTCAGCTCTGCCGTGGTTTGTGCAGGCTGGGACAATTCACTTAAGACCAAAGCTGTAAAAGGAGGGAGGCAAAATGTTGAAGCTGGGGGTGAATTTTAGCTGTTTGCATCCTTGAAGACATCATCACGGAGCCTGTTGCGAAATTCAGCACAGAGAAGATGTGTCAAACCATCCCTTCCACCTGACAGAAACATGCCCTTAAATGCCAGGCTCTGACTTCCAAGATGCACTGGAGCAACCTTCATCCTTCTGCCCAGAATGTTCCACCACCGAGTGGCAAAAAAACCCGTCACTCTTTGGTCTGAAGAGCAGGAGAGCACAAGAACCTGGCCCTGCAAGCCTGTGGTCATGTGTGTTCTCTGGAAGAGGATGGGGAGCCTTGCAAACCAACCCAGAGCCCTTGCCACCCACTCCAGAGCAGAGGTGTCCATCAGCACTCTTACCAAGCCCACCCTAAGGGGCCTGTGGGACCATGAAGAAGCAGGAGAGACTTAAAACGTGGTTGATCAAATCCAAACTTCAAAGTCACAAAAAGGTGCAGATTTACACACCCCCCTTAGAAAACTCTTTTTTTAAGTACCTCCTCCATTTTACACTGGCAGCTGCCTCTTCATCTTCTTGCTGCTCATAAATAAATAAATCACCAGGGAAAAAATAAAATAAAATAAAATAAAATAAAATAAAATAAAATAAAATAAAATAAAATAAAATAAAATAAAATAAAATAAAATATCAGCAATTTGAGGATATCCAGGTAGCCACCTGGATAATAACAGCTTTTTTCCCCCTGGATATTAATTCCTGATCCTACAGCAATGCCTTTGAGATAGGCACCACACTGATGGCCAGGAGAACTGAGGCTGGTCCAAGCCTTCTGGCTAACAGCTTGGAGATGGTGGGAGAGAGGCCAAAAGAGGTGAAATGAGAACAGACCAGTGGCAGAGCCAAGAATGGAAAACAGGTCTCAACCCAGTGCTCTACCCATTGGTGAAAGCAGATTGAAACAAAGACCTAGAAGCACCCATTCTTGCTCATAGTCTGGCCATGTATCTGGATGGCATCATTGCACATCCAGAGCAGTGTGACCAGAGCACTTCTTGCCAACGAAAAAAAAGTGTCACATGCATTAGTATAAACTTCACAGGAATCCTTTAAACCAGGCAAATGTCTCCAAGGCCTTCATTTTGGAAACAGGGAGGCCAAAAGAGAAGCAATCAGAGAGAAAAAAAAAAACAAGGAAAAAAAAAAAGAAAAAACAACTCAAGAACTCCCTTCAAACTTTAAATCCATCAACTTAGACCATTTCCATCTAGGAAAGAAGACACAGTGCTTTACCTTCTGGGCCTTGATCGCAAAGAGCTGACCTCATTCCCGAGGATGTAGTATTTGCGGGCCTCATGCAGCAGAGGAATGCACTCCTTTGAGTCCTGGATGAGTCCATCCATTTCCACCTTCTCCAGGAAGTAGGTGGGGTCAAGCAGGGGCAGACGCACATGCTCAAGGAGATCCTTCAAGGCTCCCTTTCTGGCAGGTACGTCATGTCGTACCCAGCGCATGACTGCTTCAAAGACCACTTCTTCCTTGGGGACCACCAGCTGCTCATCAGACAGATATTCAACCAGCTCCTTCACACCCATCTCCAGGAACTCTTCATGACACGAGACCTCCACAAAACACTCCAGCATGAACCTCTTGCTCTTTTCTGTCAGAGACGCAATGGAGAATGAATCTGCAAACTTCATGATGCCCAGACAATTGCATGGGTGAAGCTGGCCTTCAAGGAAGGTGACACAAGCATCTCTGAGCTTGGAGATCTGCAGCAAGTCAGAGAGTTCCAAGATGCCTTCAACGTTGTCTTCCTGAATGATGATATTCCCCCCATACATATAATCAAGAAGAAGAGACATCGTGGAAGCAGAAATCTTCTGGATATTGATGATATCCTGGTGGCCTTCCTTGAGATTGCCACCAAACATGGCCCGGAAATAGGTGCTGTTGGCTGACAAAGTGGCACGGTGACAGGGGAATTCTTGTCCATCAATTAATAGCACCACATCTGTGAAGATGCCGCTCTGCCGGTAGGAGTTCAGCGTCTGGAGGATCTGCTTGGCGTGGCAGGACCCGCTGCAGTGTTTCATGTGCAGCTTTTCTTTGCTCGGGTCCCGCGTCGCATTTTCCAGGCTGCTTGTCCTGAAACTCGATTCTTCTTTCATCATTCGATGCATCCTCATTGGGAGGCAGGGAAGGAGACAGGAGAACAGTACGTTATTAAAATATCTGACTGCAATGCCCAACACCATTATGGTTTCTGCATCTTCCTCGGTGTCGTAAGGAAGTACAGATTCCACTTAAATTGGGTATTTCCAACCCAACCTCATGCCAGTAGACCAACTTCTGCTTTTAGGAGGTGTTTCTTTTAAGTCAGTTGCCTTGCCCAGCCTATGCTGTACTAACACCTTGACAACCCTTTCCTTTCTTTCTGACATTTTGCAGCTCTTATTAAACCATTTCCCCATCCTCTCAAATGCAAATGCTCCATGGTACAGCCCAGCTGGAAGCAATGCAGTATTTTGACTTTTTCTATCCACCTCATTTGCCCAGATAACTTATTCCAGGCAAAAATCCAGAGGTAAGGATGTGAGACTGAGATTTGCTACAGATAGCTATGACATGACCTGCCCAAACGCAGGGGAGATGTCTACATCTGACCTACCTTTCTGCTAGATTTGCTCTCCAAGTTATTTTGAATCTTTGCTGAAGGACTTCATAAAGCAATTGCAGTGAAGCAGAGCAGACTTCTCTCATTGGATCTCTAACAGTTCCCTCTTCACACTGACAGCCTGAGCAGAAGGACCTATCCCTGTAGGACAGGCAAAGTCAGGTGCTCAGCCTGGAGGGTGCAAACAGCTGCACATCCAAATGGGTGATCTCTGCTCAAGTCAGGAGGAGGCACTTCTACAGGTCATCACCTGTAAAGGGCAATTTCTAGGGAGAAGGACCTCTGCCTGCAGGGGGGGAGGTCCAAAAAGCAGTGCATTGAAATAGTGATGAGAATCAGCTATCTGACAACAGTGAGAGGAGCAGAGACCCCAAACCCTCAACTTCTGCCTCCGTCATCCTAGACCCACTAACAGGTTGGTGCTGCCCTATTTCCTCCACTTCTCCCCAAAAGATCACCCTGAACCATCACTGTTGCACAGACCCAGATGCTGGGGGGCAAGAGTGAGGAGGGGATGGAATCTGGGTCTCCTGGTGTTTGCCCAACTGGTCTCACCAGCTGGATGTTAAGTAAAAGGGACACAGCAATGCCACAATCTGTATTTTTAAAACACAGGCAGAATCAGCACCACTCCTCGTGTGAGGGTGTCAGTGAGGACCATCAGCAGAACACTTCTGATCGAAGCTTCAACCATGGTCGTGAAGGTTTTAGATTGCTTTTCTGAGGATCTGTAACAGCAAAGAGCCTATTTGGGGGTGCTTGGGCTCTGCTCTTATGGGCTGCCTAAGTCAGGTGTTGGCAGGAGCACAAGTCCCCACTGGGGTGACAAGGTACCAGACATCAGTGGCTTTGTGGTGTCCACACTCCTGAAAGAAGGCAGGTTGCACATCCCTCGAGGAGGATTATCTTGAATTTCTCATGAGTCAAAATCCCAGTTTTAGCTCTAGTCCTTCATCTCTTTTTGTAGAATCATAGAATCATTCAGGTTGGAAAAGACCCTTGGGATCATTGAGTCCAACCATCAACCCTACTCTACAAAGTTCTCCTCTACACCATATCCCCCAACACCAGATCTAAACAACTCTTAAACAAGTCCAGGGATGGTGACTCAACCGCTTCCCCAGAAAGCCTATTCCAGCCTTTTCCTACACCTGCACCTCCCAGACAGCCACCATGTCAGCCCACAGACCCCAGAGGTTCTCAGATTCTCCCATGCCTCCTGGCTGCACCTGCACACCAGGGTGGCTATGTGTAGGACTACCAAATCTAGCCCTGAGGATCTTCACCCCACCACCTGAGAAAGTGTCACCATATCCTTTTGTGCCTTCAGAATCCCTCAGCAGTGGGGAAAACACCTCTTCCCGTGCCACAGGGGAGATGCAGAGAGCTAAAGAGCAGTGAAGCAGCTGGACAAGCCCTAACTAAACATCTAAGAAATCCTCTGGTGAAGGCTCTAAACACCCCAAACGCTGCTGACGGGTGCTCGGGGCTGTGTACAGAAGGGAAACGCTGTCAGTCAGTTCAAAGTGGTTTTAAGAAGTTCCAACAAAGGCATTTGTCAGAGACACCGTTGCAAGGAGCACGGCAGACTCCACGTTTCGCCGACACACGCGGCTCCAGCCAAGACAAACACACCTCTATCCCCACTTCTCCCCCTGATCCACACGTTTCCCAGCCATCGAGGTCATGCACAGCTCTCCACAGCTCAATGGTGGGAAGAAACAGCCTCAGGCTGCCCTCCTTACAAAGAGACACACACACACACACACCCCCCCAGTTAATCCAAAAGCCCTTCCCCAGCTCACATCCCTCCTGTCTACCCATGAGACTAATCAGACTCCACGTTTCGCCGACACACGCGGCTCCAGCCAAGACAAACACACCTCTATCCCCACTTCTCCCCCTGATCCACACGTTTCCCAGCCATCGAGGTCATGCACAGCTCTCCACAGCTCAATGGTGGGAAGAAACAGCCTCAGGCTGCCCTCCTTACAAAGAGACACACACACACACACACCCCCCCAGTTAATCCAAAAGCCCTTCCCCAGCTCACATCCCTCCTGTCTACCCATGAGACTAATGATGCCAAAGCCAAAGAAAGATTGTGGTTGCCCCATTGCCCTCATCCACACACCCTCCTCTCTGGGTCATAGATTGTGGTTGCCCCATTGCCCTCATCCACGCACTCTGGGCCACCTTCTCCATCCAAGTACCACACAGCAGGAAACGCTGCATTATTATTAATATTATTATTTTGCAAGCCTGCCCAGCTGCTAGAGCAAGAAGTCAACCTTACCTGGCCCACAGGTTGTGTTCTCCAGGTGGGACCTAGCGAAGATTCAACTTCGCTCCCGGAAAGCTCCCATCCACGTCGGGGGCTCTGCCCGGATAGAGGTCCTCTCTGCAAAGCTCACTCAGCACTTCTGCAGCAGGCTTGGGGAAGCACAAAAGCATCCCCTTTATCCTCCTTGCCGGAGAGGTGGGGGAGAAGTCTGCTTTTGTTTCTCCTGAATGACATGCCAGAGAGCTACAGGGCATTAGCCATGCGGCTGTCAATAACAGCCAGCCAGGGAGGAGCCAGGACCCAGGGAAAACCCGTCGCAGCTCAGGGAAAAATATATCACACCAGGGCAGCTTAAGAGGGCCGAGCCATATGGAGAGCAAATTGAGGTCCAGGTGGAACGATTCATTTGGTAGAGAGACTCTGTCTCGCTGGAAACCGCACTAAAGCTGATAAATAAAATACGGCTCTGTGAGGAAAAAAGACGCCCGGAGCAGGAATGGATTGGTTCAGGGAAGAGCTGCAGTCCCTCTCATTAACGTGTGATAATTAGGTAATTAGGTCCTTGAGGATGGTGAGGACAGAAGGGGAGGTTTGCCCCCGGTGGATTTCTGCACCCTCCCCTCAAACTTGATCCCAGTTGTTGTCTGAATTTTATAAATCCTCATAGCAGGGATCAAAGTGGCCCCGGGAAAGCTCCTCGGAGTAAACCTTGTGCTGGAGATTGTCAAAGCCCCTAACGTGATGCAGCCTTCCCTCCCTTGCCCAGCGTCGTTTCAAACGACTTGAAGTATTTCACACTAGACAGAAGGGAAATATTAATAAGAACCAGCCCCTGCGTGTTGTTATCCCGGGGAAATCGCCCCTCCGTGGGACACAACAGCCGCGTTTGCTGGCTGGCTCCTTTCTGCTCCTCTCCCATGGCTGGGATGCAGGGCACAAGCTGGCATCCTGCTTGCTCCCAACATTTGCATATGAATCTCCGGCAACCTGGAAGGGACTGTGGTTTCCTAGCCTGCTCACTGGGCTGGGAAGGTTGGGGGGGATTTGCTCTTAAGACCTTCCACCCTGATGGAGTTGGCACTGCCAGGCTGCACCGACCAAGGATGTCACCATGTCTGCCACATGGATGGAGCTAGAGACGACCAGGAGCGGGTCATCAGGACAAATGTCAGCACAGAACTGACCCTGTCCTCAGCAAAAAGGTCTCTGGAGTATTGGAAACTCCTCAGCAAGGTTGCAAAGCTGTCATCTCCTTGCAACCATAAAGTATGGGGCCACCAACCTGTTCAAAACCCAACCCCAGCTTCAAGCCATGCGTGGTTGTGGGAGGGACCAGCTACTAAGGGCTGTCAACACACAAAATGACCACAATGAAGTGGCTTTGCAGAGTGCAGCTGTCCCCATGCCAATGCCAAGCCACCTATCTAGCAGATTTCTACAGCCAGACTGCACTCGGTCCTGGATTTCCCTGTGTGACACCACCGTGCTCCAAAGTGGTTGTCACTGTGCAAAGGCTGTGCTGCAACCCATGCTTGTGGCATTTTTCCTTGAAAAAGAGGGCATTAAATACACCGTAGAGCTGTGAAAGGATGGGGAGGTGTTCGAAAGGGGTGCATGCTAGACAGCACTGGAGGACGGACACCTTATGCAGGGGTAGGAGCTCAACTTCTCCTTTGCTCCCAGGGCCTTGATCTTATAGCTGATTTGGACTCTAAAAACCCTTCTTCAGATTAAAAATGCTCAGCCCCTGGTGCACAAAGCCATTAGGCACAAAGCCACAAGCATTAAATTAAGATGCAAAGGGAAATACAAGGAACTCCCCATCTGTTGGGGAAAGGTCTCGGTGAACGTAGGACCAAAGCTGCCTGAAGGAGCAGCAGAGTATGGATCTCAGGAGGAGAAAAGAAGTGGAAGGAGAAGGGATGCAGCTAAGCTGAAGAGAAAATGAAAAAGAGCGAAAAGGACAAGAGTAGAAGAGAGGTTTGGATAAATTGGTAATGGAGGCCATAGTGAGACATCTTCAGGAAGATGGTCACTAGGACTTAATCATGCTATGGTCTGTACCTCCCCACCACATGCTTAAGAGAAGGAAATGCATCCTATCCAAGACAGCTGTCTGTGCACTCCTGGCACCACCATCCATGGTTCCACCCTGCCATGGAGAGAGTCAGAACACCCTCTTTCCACCCCCAACCACTTCGCAGAAGGGAAGGGAAGTCACCAGCCTCAAGGAGAAGAGACCGAAGCAGGTAAGCCAAGTAGATGAGTAAAGGCAGAGAAGTAACTAGAACAGAAGCAAGGTCCAGAAGGAAGAGAGGGAGAAAAATAAGAAAGAAGAAAAAAAACCCAACTTGGTTGCTATTTCATACATGGTCAATACTCACATTGAGCATGAAACCTGGTCAGGAGCTTCAGCCAAGAGGAGGTTGCTTGCACCAAGAGCCCAGGAGAAGGGGAACCAGCCTTCAGCCTCATGCCGCTGCTGCTGCTCATAGTGTGGTGAGATTTTTCACACTGAGTTTGAACTTTGCAAGCTCTGAGCCACTGCACCAGATTAAGGCTTCAGGGGAGATACAAGAGATCCTTCTTATGCCAGATAACTGGGCAGGCCTAGGGCACGGTCACATCAGCATCACCTCCCAGACCCCAGGACTACAAGTCTACTGGCAAATTTGAAGGGCTGGAAAGGATCCCAGATACCCTGAGAACTAGCTCAGCTGTACCACTAAGCCCTTATAAATAAAGGGAGTCTTAGAAAGGAAGAAAAAGAGTTAAATAGCACAATGTTGGCTGTCCCAAGCCATTTGGGCTTCGAGCCAGCAACCAATCCTCAGCTCTTTTATTTGAATAACAGACACAGCCTACATGACTCTTATTTCTCTCCTTTCAACTTTTCAATATCTTTCCCTAGAGGACAGTGAGGACAGCCCCAGTTAGGGATTATTCTGTATCGGAGGTATCAGGAGCTCTACACCCCTTCCCCCAGGGCAATTTTGTATTTAAGGCTCAAATGGTATTCCCAGAGCCAGCCAAATTCATGACACGGTGCTGAGTACCCATCACCAACCAGCGAGATAGCCTTGTGTTTATTTTAATCCCTTTCAACTATCAGTTCAACGCAGCCATTCAGGGGCTGGAGAAAACAGCTGCTTAACAAAGACCAACCCCATGCTGACCCAGACCAGATCCCCTTCTCACCCAAAGCACCCTCTGTCTGCAGCTGGGAGCAGATCCTGGGGTAAAGAATAAAAAGAAATACAGCAAGCACCAAGCAAGACTTCTCCTTAACGTACGTATTTAGCAAAGAACTGCTGAGGGACTTCCCAAACTGGAACTTGCATCCAGATTGCTGTGTTTAATAAGTGCTAATGGACGTATGAGCCATTTATTGCTCTTTGAACCTGCTTATGGTTTTTCCGCTTTCACAGCACCCTGGGGCAATGACTTGCATAATGCGTGTTAAAAATAAATTGCTTCCCATTTGTTCGGTTTAAAACTCCTGCCTGATCGGTTCCACGGGTGCATCATTGTCCCCATGTGGCCACAAGCACCAAACAATTATTCTACAGTTACCGTTCAAGATGCAGGTCTGCACAGTCACCTCCTCCCCACATGACTATTTTTCAGCTACTGTCTTATAAAAGCCAAATGGGAGAGAACTATAGAATGGTTTGGGTTGGGAGAGACCTTTAAAAGTCCATCTAGTCCAATCTCCAGGCCATAAGG